GGAGAGGGAGTTCGAGGCCAGTGGGCAAACCTTTCTTGGGAACTCTTATATGCTACTAATGATGATGAGGAGCGGTACAGCATTCAGGCTCACCCGTTCATGCTTCGAAACTTGACTGTTCAGGCAGCTGATCCCCCTCTAGGATACCCCATTTACTCATCTCCCCCCCTTCACTTCCCCTGCCTATGACCTGTGGCACTTTTTACACAAGAAAGAGGAAAGACATTTCTCTGTTTGGTAATAGCAGGAAAACACTTTTGAATTTTTGACCCAGAAGTTGTGGCGAGTATTGTCTTTATGGAAACCCAGATTGTTTTTCACATTATTTAAACTTCTTGGTGCTTTATGTAACGAACTGCAGAGGAAAGGGCACTAACCATTTTCAAAATATTTCAGAATTTGACTTATTTATATTATGGTCTACTTCCTCAGAACATAAAAATACAATAATTTATTTTCCGTATCAGTTACCCAAGAATGATTTACCACAAAGGTTTTGTGGTATATTAAAAGATCAACTTAAAAACTGAAAAGAAAAACTATTTGCATTCTATAGGTTTCATGCTTTTTAAAATAATGTACCAAAAAAAGGGACACAAAACTGAATGTTTAAAGAATATCAAGGATGTGCCTTGAGTACGTCTTGCTCCGTGTACAACGTTCAGTGCCGTTTTGTTTACAATTCAATTGTTTACAGTTAGGGAGTTGAATGTGTCCACAGTTTCTTGTACATATTGTTAGTTTTTATATGTGTAACTGTACATAATTGTAATAAAATATGTTGTCAAAAACAAAATTTTCCATTTTCATTTAGACCAACTTTAAGTGGCAATTTTTTTCTATATTTTATTATGCAGAAGATCAGTTCAAAAGCATGATTTTTTACAGATACAGTAGTCTGCAGACCTTGCATTTAGAAGTTGTGCGTCAGAAGTGAAAAAATTTGAATTAAAAAGTTGATTCACATTTGAGATGGAAAAGAGCACAAAGATTACAGACAAGTTCTCATTCTTAAATGTTTCTGTCTAGAAAGTAATACACATTTAAAGTTGGGAATGCGATCAAGTGATTTTTCTTGAAGATGAGACATTCAGGAGGTCTTTGGTTTAGTGAAGTATGCAGAGTCTGCATCCTGCAACACAAAAATACAAGATGTTAACTCTGATTTAATACTACAGTAAACAAAATTAAAATCTTTTTTATTCTAAAATGAAAATGGAATAAGTTTTAAAATCTTGAAAATAGGTGTGCCGGTCACAAGATGCACCCTGACATCTCTTAACTACAGAGACTTGTTGAGGAATTTGTCTTGATAGGATTTACATGCTTTTTCTATTTTTCTTCGTGCCTCAGATTTTTCTAAAGCACGTGAAGCCACGGTGTTTGACCAGTAGGAACATGACCTTCCTACATGGCCCTCAGCTGTCAACATTCAGCAGAGGCTACAAAACTCTGGCCACTCATTTGATACTGTGAAAAAAGCTCAATGTCGTTCTCAGCACAGCTGAGACCCTTCAGCTTTTAGGAGGCAGTTCTGCTCTGCTCTCCTTTGTTCAAATATTTTTCAGTCTATTTGCACAATAAAAAAATACCCCAATATCCAGTTCACTACAAGGACAAGACAGCCCTAAAATATCTTCACATTAAAAAAAAAAAAAAGTTTATTTCTTTGCTCTTACCCTGACACAATCTTTACACACAAAGTGATAGATGAGGCACTTACCACACCAGATTTAAAGTTTTGCACCCGTTTCTTGCCGATCAAGTCTGTGAGGACCCAGGCAAACGTGGGCATATACTGCCAGGCGTAGTAAAACAACAGGAAGGGCTGCTGTGCAATCCACATTTCCTTGACACCGTTGGCAATTCCCACCAGCATTAAATGCACACAGCGACTTGTTGGCATCTTGTGTTCCTGGCTGCCAACTGTGGCCACGGGCTTTAAAGGAAAAAAATGGTACTGACAACAAATAACTACGAGGACAGAATTTGAGAAAATCAAACATAGAAAGCATCACCTTGTTCAGCACTTCTGTGAAGGCGTTGTTGACAATCTGGGACTGAACGGGTCCTGGACACACTGTGCTTATGAGTATTTCTGGAAAGTCCGTCAGCTCGGTTCGAAGGGAATTGAAGAAACCCTAAAAACAATACAGTTACACACAGGAATTTAATTATATATAATTATTTGTAGTTTTTTTGCTTACAACTGAAAACCGACTGAGCAAAACATCAGATAAACCATATCTGCTTCTATCCATAAGCCAACACTACAGTAAGTAAATAAAGAAGAATATACAGTAGTCCCTAGTTTATCGCAGTGAATCCGTACTCTGGGATAGAGACCCTGGGTACCCTGGGTTTTTTGGGACAGGCATTTTGGGTTTTCATGAGCTGTATGCCATAATCATCAGTATTAAAACAATTAAAGACCTGAAATATTTCAGTTGGTGTGCAAAGAATCTGAAATATATGAAAGTTTCAATTTTATCATTACATTATGGAAAATAATGACCTTTATCACAATATGCTAATTTTTTGAGAAGGACCTGTATATACACACACACTATATATATACACACACACACACACACGCACACACACACACACAAAGGTGTTTTAAACCCTTCCCACACTACTACAATATTCTAAACAATGCTTCTAAACTCTCAATGCTCTAAAAGAGCATAGAATGTCATGATTTCAGCTCCCTGCCTCTGCTGCTCTCTGCCACCTGCAAGTGCTCTTGGCCACACCAGTATGGTCTGCACAAAGATGCAGCAGGTGCTAAATAATTTATTTTAAATAAAAATTCCATGCCAATCGTGCGACTCATCCATCAATCAGCCAATTGTGAGTCATGTTCAATCTTATTTTGAAAAACGAAAGTTACGTATGTAACTACGGTTCTATGAATCCTGGATGACCGCCAGAGGGCGGTGCTGAAAGCACTGAATGTTCCCTTCGCCATGCGCTGTTCGAGTAATAATACCAACGGAGTCACAGGTGTGACACGGATGACCAATCAGAGGCTATATAGCCCGACGTCATCCGCTGCTCTGCTCCTACAGAATCTTCTTGCGGAACGCAAGGATTCTGAGTGACGGAGAAGCTCTGGCGGTCATCCAGGATTCATAGAACCCTAGTTACATACGTAACTTTCGTTCTATTTCATCCCTCCTGACCGCCAGAGGGCGGTGCTGAAAGCACTGAATGACTAATACCAACGATGTCACAAGGAATCCTAAACACCTACCTCACTGAGGAGGCCCAGAGGACCCTTGTAAAAGAACCTGGCCCAGGGGATGAGGGGTGGCCACGTTAACTCTATAAAATCTGGTGAACGTGCTTGGGGAAGCCCATGATGCAGCAGCACATATTGCTTCCAGCGGAACCCCTCCCCCTCTCAGGGCAGCCCAGGAAGCGGTGACGCTCCTGGTAGAGTGAGCCTTCAAGCCGACCGGCAGGGGGCCGGGCCCTGCAGCATAGGCATGGCAGATGACGTCCACAATCCAGTGGGAGAGGCGCTGTTTGGAAAGAGGACAGCCTAACCTAGGGCCTCCATAACACACAAACAGCTGGTCTGAATGTCTTATCACGGCAGTAGCTGCAACGTATGCCTCCAGTGCCCTCACCGGGCACAATAATGCAGACCCCTCACCAGGCGCAGGCTGAAAAAGTGCCAGCCTCAATGGTTGGTTAGAGTGAGAGTGAGATAACACCTTTGGTACAAATGCAATGTTTGGCCACAAGGTAACACACGAGCCCTCGGGGCCCCACCTGAGACATGAGGGGCTGACTGAGAGAGCATGTAGCTCGCTGACCCTCTTTGCTGAGGTAATAGCCAACAAAAAAGCCGTCTTACATGAAAGCCACTTGAGGTCCGCCTGCGTCAGAGGCTCAAAAGGAGGACGGCACAGAGCTTCGAGAACCAAGGGAAGGTCCCAACCTGGTGCTCGTGGAGCTGTCGGCGGGTGTGACCTACGGGCACCACGCAGAAAAAGAGAGACTAGATTATGGCTCCCTACCGTACAGCCATCAATGCCAGCATGATTAGATGATATTGCCGCTACATAAACTTTAAGCGTCGAAGGACAGTGACCCTTACCAAGCAGAGACTGGAGAAACTCCAGAATGGTGGGTACTGTACAGGAAACTGGATCCTTGTTGTGATCAGAACACCATTGGGAAAACAGGCGCCACCTGTTTTCGTACTGCTGACGAGTAGAGGGTGCCCTGGCGCCCAGGATGGTGCGTCTGACGGGGCTCGAAACTCCAGTCAGCTGCTGTCCTAGCCTTGCAGTGGCCACACCCACAGCTGAAGACGTTGAGGATTGGGGTTCCATATCAGTCCCCCCAACTGAGACAACAAGTCCCTTCTGGTCGGAAGACACCATGGGACGCCCTGACATGGACTTCGTAGCAGTGGGAACCATGGTCGCGCTGGCCAATACGGAGCCACCAGCAGCATCCTGTGGCCCTCATTGAGGACTCTCTGAAGGGTTGGCCAAATTAGAGAAAGGGGTGGAAAGGCATATAGAAGGACCCTTGGCCAAGGATGAGCCAATGCGTCCTGGCCTAGTGCACCCGAGTCCGTTCCAGTGCTTCCAAGGCAGCCGAACCGAACAACTCCCTCGGCACCACTGGGACATTACGGAGGGTTCTACGGCATGGCTCAGTCAATGCTGACTGCGCCAACCAGACCTGTCGGCGAGCCTGGACCAAGGAGGACATCACGCGCTCAAGCTCCCTCGTCCTTAGTGCAAAGGCCTGAAGCGCTGCATCGTTAAAGCCCATTGCTGCTGTCGCACCACTAGTCCCCTGAAGGGACGCGGAGAGGGCAAGCATTAGGTGTGCCAAGGAATTGCCTAAGCGGCCAGCACGCGCTCCGGCGGCATAGGCTCTGCAGAGGAATTCATCCATGACACGACACTGAGCTCGTGGGCACAGAACATGACTGCGCAGAGCTTCTTCTGGTGACACGACGAGAGAGGCAACAGCAGGTTCTATCGCTGGCATGCGATCCAACTGCTGCAGCCGGCTCATGCATGGCCGCCAACACTCGGCTATCAGCAGAGAGGCTTTGGGTTCCCGCCAGCAACCATGCAACTCCCTTGGGAACTCCTCTGATGGAGGGACAGAAAAGGAAGGAGGGGTCAGTCCGCGCCTGAAGAAGGCACTTCCAGGGGCGGACGCCTCTGGTTGCGGGATGTCCAGCTGCAGTTGTCTCAGGGCTATACGCATGACGTCCTGCATCGAGCCGTCACCCAACCCACTAACTGCACTCTGAGAAGAAGAAAGTGAAGCTGTCTCTGAGACTTGAGATGAATGCCCGTCCTCCTCACCTAAAAAATGAGAGGCAGAGGCAGCCAAGGATAGCACATCTTCCTCCACAGCCAGTTCAGGCATGGGTGGGGAGGAGAGTCCGGTTGCTGCCAATGGTTCAGTTCCCAGTTGGCGTACCTGAAAAAGGGACTTCATCTCCGCTAATTCAGCGGAGAGCTGCTCCACCCTTGTGGAGAGGCCCCTATCAGACCTGGCTCGCTTCTTCCCAGGAGGGGCCACAGAGACTGCGGCCTCAGTC